AACTAGTGTCGACCCTTAAAGACTACTTCCCTTTAGGAAGAAGTCATAAGCAGCTGTTTGGAGTCTGGAGCCAAATGTTTTCTTCAGTAAGCATCACCTGTTGCAGGTTTTCACTGTCGGCAAGAGTTTCTGTAGTAACAGTGTCCACGTGTTGACTTAAAGGCAGGGCGATTCAGGCGAAACCTTAAAAATAGCTCAGAATAGCACGCTGTCATGTGTCGTATATTAATGTGGCAAAAGCAGACTAAGTCGGCTGGATGCCTGGCAAAAAGAAAAGCTGAAAACTGACAGCAGGAGGTGCTGCAGTAGATCTAGCTCTTGAAGCTGACAGGAAACCGTTCCTGTGTTTTAAACTGGATGAAGTTGCTCCCTGACAGCACCGTCCAATCCGCAGTTTGTTCCCAATGTGGAGCGGAAACAGGGACACAGCTGAGGAGGAGCCTGGTTCTGATTTAGAACAGCCACCTCCTCGTGGTCCCTGGAGCCAGTTGTCTCCTGATGGTTCTCAGAGGCAGCAGCAGTTACATTTCTACTTGATTTCAGATGAGTGAATACGGTAATTGGAACTGGCGGGTTAGGAGGGTCAGCAGACTGCAGAGCGAAGCCGGTCTGAGCTGACTACCTTTAAGCAACAATCCTGGAGGTCAGAAAAACGTCAAACCTGTAAAAATTAGGTACAACAGAATTTAGTCACCACAACAATGGCTTCTGTTGATGGTTTTACATGTTCTTTAGCCAGAAAGTTGTGGAAACTTGAGGTTATGATTTCTAAAATCCCAAACGAGAGGAGCAACTTATTTGTAATTATTCCTAGATTATCACCCAGGATTAGAGAGAGTAATTCCAAAGGCTGGAGAATAGATGCATTTTAATAGAAACTCAGTGGACCTCATGATCTGATTCAAAACACTAACTCCACACATTAATGAGGAGAACACACATGCTGGAGAACACACAAACTTTACACACACATGAGAACACACATACGTACATGAGGAGAATACACATGCACAAGGTTTCCCCCAGTGCTTTATAAGCCTGGTGGCCCACCAGGTTTTGCTTGGCCACCTGCCAGGCTAAGCGTCATGCCCCGCCTCCCTCCCCGACCCTACCGTGTCCGCTGACACGAACAGCACAACGAAACTAAAGCCCTCCATCAGCTGATACTGGTGAGAAACAGCAGTGGAACGTGTACAACACCCCCACCCCCACAACCTCTCTCACGGAGGAGCGCTGCAGGATGGAGTGCGCGACCCCCCCCCCCCCCCCCATTTTCTGGGGGAAACCCTGCATGCATAAGGAGAACATACTAACTCAACACATGCATGAGGAGAACATACTAACTCAACACATGCATGAGGAGAACATACTAACTCAACACATGCATGAGGAGAACATACTAACTCAACACATGCATGAGGAGAACATACTAACTCAACACATGCATGAGGAGAACATACTAACTCAACACATGCATGAGGAGAACATACTAACTCAATGCGTGCATGAGAAGAACATACTAAACTAATACAGAAATAGATAAAATAGATTGTATGGTACTAGAAGTCATTTAAGGCAGTCTCTATTGGTCTATGACAAGGAGCTTTTAGTTTTATTTATTATTTACTGTTTTACTTTGATTCCAGTTTGGTTCCAGTTCTAATCTCAGCTGGCTCCCACAGACTGTCTATTAAACTGTTCATTGTTGGTGATGCACCAACGTAAAAAATCGATTTTATTCTATAGTTGACATTGCGGATTAGATTAACTAATCTTTGTAGCCCTTCTCAGACTCTCCGTTACTAACTCACTTAACTGCAGCTTCATACTAGTTTAACTAAGGAATTGTTATTTTTCGTTATGGTGACGAGAGCTTTTCTAACTGGAAACAAACCTTTTTCTTCAGTCCAAATTGTTTAAGCTCAGCAGGTTCCTGGATGGAGATAATTTATTCATATGAACATTCGAACACTTGTCCTTCCCTCGGACCGGTTTTGCTTTTATTTCTCATCTAACAAAAGGAAATGGCTCATTCCGCTTGTTGCTCCTGTTTCAGACCTTGTCTTGTAGCGCTGCAGGATTCCTGCTCGGGTCTTTGTCCCATCGTTAGAACGCTGGGCCAAATGTGGCATTTGGATTGGCAGCAGAGTGGAATCCTGATGTTTACTAACAGAGGAGAAGCTCCACAATGCTGGAGAAGTCTTCATCAAACTTTCAAGACTTCAAACTTACTGTCAGCTGGCTTTGTCCAGCATGAAATAAGAATAATACCAACTTTAAAACTCCTGAAATATAAACTACACACAGCACTAGGATTCCCAGGATTTCAGCTGTTATGGAGCTGCTGTTTTATGGGAAATCTCTCTTTTTTGAACAAGTTATAATATTTCTATACAAAACATGTTTTTTTTCTCACAAAACCCTCTGATTTCTGCCTGGTTTAGACTCACACAGGAACCCGGAGTAGACGCGGACCGCTGGTTCTTACTGATATGGTTTCTTATCAGGTACATCAGGTGATCTCTGCCGAGACTCAGACTAGTTCAGCAGCTGCAAACACAATTTTCATGAGCACCTCCTGATACCGATCAGTCTGACACCAGCAGTATTTACAGTAGCTCTGTTATGCAGATTTTAGTGTGTGTGTGTGTGTGTGTGTGTGGAGGTGGAGGTGGTGGTGGTGGTGGTGGTGGTGGTGGGGGTTAATGATTTCTAACTGAACAAGTAAATCCCATCGTTCATCTGTTAAAACATCTCTAAGAGCTAACAAATAATTAGCAGCCTCTTGCTAACAGGTGCAACGCTAGCAGTGATGCGAATGTTTAGCCACACCTTATAATTATCCTAATCAGTTCTCTGCTGAAAAACGTCACTGACTAAACATCTTTGTCATGACCTGCTTTATATAGGATCAGGATCTAAAACGGGCCGGCCAGAAACGATTGTCTGCTTTATCAGATCATTAACGCATTCAAATCCTTCATGGTTCAGTGTCGCCATTATAATTAACATTTTGACTCCTCTGCACCTCTAACCCATTCTTTTACTGTTAAGGAGAAAAAAGGCCACGTAATTATTTCCACAAAGTAGAGAACAAAAATATTAAACAAAATGTGTTTTTGAGTAAATTAAAGATTATTTTAGTTTACGTAGTATTCATATTTTTGCATAAAATTAATCAAATGTCACAACTCCAAATGTCTGTAAAAATAATATTAACTAACAAAACTATCAGGAAACTACATAAACCCTCCAAATAAACTAGAACAAAAAGATTTATAAATAATAAATATGGAGATGTTGGAATAAAAGCCCATACATTAATCAGGTTATCCGCGGGTCCTTAAAATGTCTTAAATTTGCTTTCCCAAATTTAAGGCCTTAAAATCCTTAAAAATGACAAATAATCCTTAAATACAGTTTCCAAAGTTCTTAAATTACCAAAGACCCAATAAACAAGATTTTGTTTCTATAAAATTTTCGTGACTTTCTAGTTAGTGTTGTTGGCGTAAGCGGAACCATACTCATTCAGTTGGTTGTGAAAGGGGGCTATTTTTAGATAAGCACATTAGCTGGTTAAGCTAGTGGTAGCTTGCGCCATGGGAAAGTGCAAGTTTAATGGTAACTGGATGGCTAATCCCACGTTCGTGACGTGGTTAGCACCGGTTCCAGGCAATAGCTGGAAATTATAGCTTAAATTTAATTTTTTAAAATTGCTTAAATTTGGTCAAAGTGGCCTTAAAAAAGGTCTTAAAAAGTCTTAAATTTGGCTCCCTCAAACCTGCAGATACCCTGATTAATACAACCAAGTTGTTTTACAGCATTAAAGTTTGACAGTAAATTAAAAGCTGTTATTGCAGCAAATGAATAAAAAACAAAAAAGTTAACTGGTTAAATCTACACTTAGCTCTACCGCTACAAACTCATAACAAACAGGAAAGCACATTCGGTCTACTGGGTCATCTTCTACTCATCTGTCTCTCCAGGTGTCCTGATCACCTTCAGAACCTTCAGCCAGGCTCCAGTCAGAGACATCACATCTTATTTTGGGGGTTCTTCTTTTTTAAAACTGACAGAAATGTGTAATTCGCTGACAAACTCATGTAGCGGTGTCTTTATTTATTTATTAGTAATTTAATCTAATTGTTTTTTATTTCTATAAAACTTTCCATCCCTCCTCAGGAATACGATGTGAGGATGTTTGATGTTGTGAAACCTGGAATATTTGTGCCTTTCACTGTGAATAAGGGTAAAGTCGGGCGCGTTTATTTCATCCGTTTGTACTGATGGAGTTTTTGAAACAACGGAAATAGGGAGTTTCATCCTGAAGCGTGTAGCAGTCTGCTTTGATTCTCCATCAGCTGTGTAGCTGCAGGAGTTTTCTAACAGAACGTCTCATCATAAGAGGTGAAATCAGTCTGTTAGGAATGCTGCATCCTGTAGACTACTGTGTAGGGACCGAATAATTTACAATGACGATCTGACCAAGAGGCAGCAGTAACAGACCAGGAACTGCTGGTCTTGTGACCCAAGACGGTCAGTAGGACTGGAGTAAAGCAGGGTGAGGACCATAGGGGCTTGAAGGTGACTGAAAGAACCTTAAAACCAAATCTGAAATAAACCAAAAGCCAGCTGCTGTCTAAGGAGGGAAATAAGACTCAGTTTACTACCCACTGAAGGTTGATCAGCACCGTTTTTGTGTTTTCTTTGGAGGATCAATAGCAAAGCCACTAATTCCAGTACACAGACTGTTAGAGTAATCCAGCCTGGTGGTTATAAAAGCATGGATTACTGTACTGGTATTAATTTGGTAATGTGGAGCTGGTACAGGTCGGATGCTCACCTTCCGGGAGAGATGAGACCGCGGAAGCGGACGTCTGATAATATCATCGTTACAATCTAACACCTTCATTCATTGCCTTTGTTTGTTTTGCCCTTTACTCTTTGTTGTTTGTTTTGTGTTTGTAACTAATGTGAATTATTCCTGTTTTTGTCAACAGATGCAGTGAACAGATAGAAGATGAAAATCCTTAAGAAGGCCAAACAACAGGTTTGTGTTTGTTCATCGTTTTAATATTCAGTTGAACATTTTGGGATGTTTTTATTTATTTACTCCAGTTTAGAGCAAACTGCTGTTAGACCTGTAGCTGTTTAGGCTCCAGCAGATGGCTCACTGCTAGGGATGCACGATATATCGTCATCAATATCCATATTGGCCAATGTTAGTCATTTTTTAGCATATTGGTATCAGTCCAATAAATAAAACTGGGCCAATATTAGCAACCAATATATTTTCCATCTTGTTTCCATTTGTTTATCTGTTTCAGAGTGTGTGTGTGTGTGTGTGTGTGTGTGTGGGGGGGGGGGGGGGGGGATTTGTTTATTCATGTGACAGTGGTTGTAATCATCTCAGAAGCCTAAATGTGTGTGTTGTGTGGACATAATGTTAGTTCAGCTTTAATCATTTTCATTCTATATCAAGTCTGCTGATTTTAGAAGCATTCATGTCAGTATATTGGTATCGGCCAATACCGGTTTTCAGCCATAACCGTGATATTAACATTGGATATCGGTATCGGCCCAAAAATTTCACAACAGTGCATCACTACTCACAGCTAATCTTCATTTGCATATTTATTCCCAAATATGTGATGAGAGCTGAAGAGGACGTCCCAAAAACATATTTTATAGTAAACTTTCCTTTGTTTGGTCTGTGGAGATTTTTGACACACCTGTTGGTTTTCATGCTTGTGACCAAAAACTTGACTGATCTGCACCTGGATCTTGTCGGAATTTTTAGAGGATTTGACACAGTTGGCGATCCGTGAGTCAGAACATCTGACCAGCAGCTCCTGTAGATCCTCCAGAATCAGGATCATCTTTTTATTTTTATTTTTGGTAGATATTTAAACTCTCTGCTTTGGTTCGGATGATCGTTTCTCATTTTATGTCAAGCTGAGCGGAGCGATGAGTCAGAGTTTCTTGTACATTTGTGAGGTGACTCAGCAGTTTCTTAGCTGATGCTGCAGCACCACGGAGTCGAACCTTCATATCAACGAAACCTAATCCTGTTCATGTTGTCGTCATTATTTATCCACTGCAGTAACATTAAAATGCATCTTTGTTTAGTTTTAATCTGATAAATCCTACAGGGTCTTCTGGCGCCATTTTCTCTGGATCTCTGAGTCATTTCCTGATGAACTCTCCTCATTTTGGCTTTCAGTCCCCCACATGGAGGTTTCCTTTGGACTTTCATAGACTTCCTTACTCTTGGGATCCCTTACACTATAGTCCATCAAATGACAGTCCACTTTTAATTTTATAGATGCAGAACCTCCAGGTGTTGCTGTGTTCTGCTGCTTTTATGAGCCTTTGGTTTGTTTTTCTAGATGTTGGTATTCTGGGGGTGGCAACAGAAAAAAGTCCATGAAAGCGAGTCCAACTGACATTTTAATAAAATAAAATCAGGTCTGAGCCTGACTAAGTTTACAATTACAAACTCGATACTTTAAAGAGAACAAGCTGCTTTTAGCCATGCCCATCCATGCCCTGATTGGCTGCTGTCAGGTGAGGAGCTCAGATACCTGGGAGCATCTCTGAGTAGAGCCACTGCTCCTTCAGGGTCTACAGGTGAGGTAGGTCCCATCCTAATATCTGTCATTGTAACATCACAATAAGGAACTATTTCAACAGTCCAACTGTGTGTGTGTGTGTGTGTGTGTGTGTGTGTGTGTGTTAGCTTCAGTAACTGCTTTATGTTGCAGCCATGAAAGGAAGTGGCAGCATTGATGGGACTGCAGTGCTCACCGTCTATATTTGTGATGGAGACAGACATTGTGTGCATGTGTGTGTGAGGTAGTGTTATTGATTCTCAGGCACTGTGCATGCAGGCAGACTCTCAGCTGGGTTGGTTGGACTTTAGCTGCGCTGCAGCTTGTGTGTGTCATACCTGCAAACCTTTTGCTTTTGGAAAAATTGGCCAACTTTGAAGCCAAATACGGCATTTACGTGACTCTTATATACAGGTCCTTCTAAAAAAATTAGCATATTGTGATGAAGTTCATTATTGTGTGTAATGTACTGATAAACATTAGACTTTCATATATATTAGATTCATTACACACAATGCAGAGTCCGCACTGACGCAGACGGAGAAGCATAAATCAGGCTTAAGTCGAGAGGCCCAGACTTCCCTCTCCCCAGCCACTTGGGCCAGCTCCTCCGGGGAAATCCCAAGGCGTTCCCTGGCCAGGTGATAGACATAGTCCTTCCAACTAGTCCTGGGTCTACCTTTAGGCCTCCTCCGGTTGGACGTGCCCGGAAAACCTCACCAGGGAGGCATCCAGGAGGTATCCTAACCAGATGCCCGAGCCACCTCAACTGGCTCCTCTCGATGGGGAGGAGCAGCGGGTCTACTCCGAGCCTCTCCCGGATGACCGAGCTTCTCACCCTATCTCTAAGGGACAGTCCAGCCACTCTGCGGAGAAAACTCATTTCGGCCGCTTGTATCCGCGATCTTGTTGTTTCGGTCACTACCCAAAGCTCATGACCATAGGGGAGGGTAGGAACATAGATCGACCGGTCATTCAAGAGCTTCGCCTTTTGACTCAGCTCTCTCTTCACCACGACAGACCAGTACAACGCCCGCATCACTGCAGATGCAGCACCAATCCGCCTATCGATCTCACGCTCCAGTTTTCCCTCACTCGTGAACAAGACCCCGAGATACTTAAACTCCTCCGCTTGGGGCAGGACCTCATCCCTGAGCCGGAGAAGGCATTCTACCCTTTTCCGAATCAAGACCATGGTCTCAGATTTAGAGGAGCTGATTCTCATCCCAGCTGCTTCACACTCTTCTGCAAACCGCTCCAGCGAAAGCTGGAGATCATGTTCTGATGAAGCCAACAGGACCACATCATCTGCAAAAAACAGAGACCTGATCCTCAGGCCACCAAAACGGATGCCCTCAACACCTTGGCTGCACCTAGAAATGCTGTCCATAAAGGTTATGAACAGAATCGGTGACAAAGGGCAGTCTTGGCGGAGTCCAACTCTCACTGGGAATGAGCCCTACTTACTGCCGGCAATGCGGACCAAGCTCTGACACCGGTCATACAGGGACCTAACAGCTCATATCAGAGGGCCTGGTACCCCATACTCCCGGAGTACCCTCCACAGGGCCCACCAAGGGATGCGGTCAAATGCCTTTTCCAAATCCACAAAACACACATAGATTGGCTGGGCAAGTTCCCACGCACCCTCCAGGATCCCCTTAAGTGTATAGAGCTGGTCCAGTGTTCAAGTATACATATATATATATATATATATATATATATATATATATATATATATATATATATATATATATATATATATATATATATATATACTTCTTTGTAGTCCAGCAAATATCTGAGACAAAGCTGTGTGTCAAAAACTCCCTAAATATTTATTCCCAACTAACTCATCAAAGCAGCACCACTCATGAACACAACAATAACCACTTAAAGTATCAAATATCAATCAAAACATTGTCGAAAATGATAAATAAAATAATGTCCCGTTGTTGAAAAATATTGGTGGCTTTGTACCATATAACCAAAAAAGTTGGGTCAAAGGTACATAGGGCGTGAGTAGTATCTTTGGGGGGACGCCATGTTTCCTTCTGGCCGGCTCAGGGTCCTGCGCCTGTCGATGACGTCCCACTAGAGGATTGGCTAGATGTACGACTTATGGCAGTTTAGTTACCACGTTTTTAATCGTTTTGGCAGTAAGAAACATGAATTTAATAACAAACCTGCTAAAGAACAGAATCGAAAAAGAGATGCAATATATTTTGGCCTAGTGGCATTGTTGTAGTATGACGTCCTCAACAGAACTCCGAGCTGATCCGGAAACTACAGCGCCAGAAAACTACAATTGCCATTGCATTCTCTCGATGGAATTAACTGCAGGACCATCAAAGTCTGAGGAGTCCTGTTGATGACCCTAATCCTTGCTTTCTGTTCCACAGGTAACAACATTTACCATAGTGTTTTTTAAACTATGGTGTAAAAACTACCCTGAAATGTATGTGCTGCGCCCTAGCGCTGGGAAAATACACACTGCCACTTTAAGGATGATTACAGTTTAATTAATGTAGTAATTAATATTTTCAGATGTTTTCATGTTTAGTGTTGTGTGAATTAGTCTCAAAGTAATTGTTTACAAGTATATGATGAACCCTAATGATTTTCTGATAATTTCTGTCAGTTTATTATATTTTTTCTATTTTTTTCTAAACTTCACAGTAGAACGTGGTTTGTGTTTTGAAAAAACAAAACAAAACAAAAACACATAACTGGTTTTTAAAAAGTATTCCTACAGGTTATTGTTGCAGTATGTAAAAGTCAGAGGTAGAGTTGTCACGGTGCGAACATTTAACCTCACGGTTATTGTGACCAAAATTATCACGTTTTTCGGTATTATCGCGGTATTTTTTTAAAAACATATTACATTTTCAGACAACTAAATAAACCCTGTATATCAGGAAAATATTGCCCTCAGTTTGTGTCTAAATTTAGCCTAAAATTTGTTATTTTGTATATATGTTGTTTATTTGTTTACATTTTCCTCCTTTAGTCTTTAAAATACCAATATTTGCCCATAACTTCTTATTTTTTGTCTGTCTGATCTCATCATTTTAAAAATATTAGATCAGGTGATACTCAGCACTCAAGTAGCCTTCTAATCAGATACTTTTTTTACCCTTACTTGACTAATAATCCCTATATCAGGAAGATATTGTCCTCGGTTTGTGTCCTTCCAGTGACCTTTGCAGGTTTGGGAAAATGTCATCAGGCAGTAATCATTGTTAAATTCATAATTATTCTCAGAGAGAGACCAACTCTTATCTGCCCCTAGGAGCCCCGTAATGCATAGCGTCATTTCAACATGGGGGTGTCCGCGACATGGTTTATATGCAGGTAGCGGCGCTGCGGCTGCTTTATATAGCGACTCGTTGCATTCTCCCTTAACCCAAGTCCTCGGATCACGCATTTTAGCTAAAAC